GAGAAGGGGATTTTGGGCACACCACAAAAGGACTGTGGGCACATGCACCTGAAGTGCAAGCAGAGCTTAAATCCACAGTACAGAAAAATAGTGCAGGGGTAAAGCCAGAATCTGATTCAAATAGGTCTGTCTGAGTTTGGACTAGATTTCTCTTGTGAAATGACGGCATGGGAACTTCACAGTGTGAATAACAGTTTGCGTGGGCAAGTGGGCAGTCCTGGCTGCAAGGGTGCTTTGCCATGCATTCCATACCCAGAAGGTAATGGGTAGAATGTTCAGAAGATGTAGAGGAGTCAAGGTCCCTTTCTTTTAGAAAATTCCTTCCCGTTTGGAGAATGGATTTTGGAAGGTATGTAGATGTATAAATATGGAGAGAGCCATGTAAAGGCATTTCCAGACTTTCCAGTGCCTCTAGCTCTTCTAAGTTTTTAATTTGGATACTTTCTTAGAATTACATAAAAGTTTATATATAATATAATTTATAATTTATAGACAAGTGTTCAGCTACAGATTTATAATTTTGAGGTATTGGGAATGTCTGTGATTAAGAATACATTATGTGATTTTGTATTTCTCCCTAATACTTGCTCTTTTATTTTACAGACCTGTTCTATTGCCCAATAAAAACATTAAAATTGATCTGTTGCTTACTTGGCTTGCACAAAACTTTAGCCAGTCACTTATCTGTGCTTTGACAATCAAATATCCTGCAGCTGACATTCACCACAAATTTCTTCACTCTAGTGAGTCCAGAGAAGAAAAAAATACCCGTGTTAATCATCAAATACAACATCTGAACATCTTCTGTTCTGTGTAGGAGCTGGGTGGTTTTGACAGACTTCGCAAGTCATCCAGCTGTGACACGTTCTGCGGTCGCTTCTTGGTGAGATGTGCTGAGACAGCACTCGTCCTGTGAGCAGAAGTGGATTTGCGTTAAGTTGAAAATGGAACAATTGATTAGAATATCCTGAATTTTCACTTTCATGTCGAATGGGGTGTTGGTGCCCAGGCGCTGGCGGTGGGGGCTGTGGGGCTTCTGTGAGGAGAGGCCGGGGCTGGTTTCAGCCGGTTCTGGCTGGCTCCAGTGGCCCCACTGCAGGGCACAGCCCGGCCCCTTGGCCATGCTGGCAGCGCCTCGGGGGAAGCGGGTTTAAGAAATGGCAAAATGCTGCCAGCAATGAGGATTGAGGGGAAAAGCATGAGGGGAAAAGTGTGAGGAGCAGCCCTGAGAGTCCTGAGGGCAGAGGAGGAGCAGCAGCTCAGGCCCATGGCAGGCATTGGCCTGCTTATCAGAAGGTGTTCCTGTGGCACTGTGGGAAAGAGTTAAGTGTTGGACCTTTACGTAGGCCAGACACCACAGGAAAAAGGAGGCATTTTTATGTTTGTGGCGTTTAAGTGCTTTAATAAAGGACTAGTGAGGGACCCCATACAGAAATTCTAATTAATAAGGTATATTAGAGAAGAGATATTTGGGGGGGCGGGGGGGGGGGATAAATTTCTTGTGCTGGTAAACCCCAACCCCACAGAAGAAAGGATCTTCACTGAGGACTTTAGCTGTTGACAAACCTTCTGTTATGGTTACGTTTGTGTTTGCTCTTCTCGATCTGGCTTTGCCAACATAGCTAAAAGAGAGAGTCAGCTGGAGTCTTGTCTTTCTTTGCATTGCACTTAAGATTATTTAGTAAGGTCTTGAACCAGATGTTATTGAAGTTGATGGTAGCATTTCAACAAACACTAGAGAGCTTTGAGTCTGCCTCTGTCCTAATAAGCGACATCAGATCAAATTTAACACTGCAGTGGTGAGTGAAAAAGACAAGCCAGTTAACTCCACAATTTTAAGTATATAAAGCACACTGGTTATTTTTAAAGTTTCATCAGAGACCTAGGGTTGAGATGATTTTAAGGCAAATTATGTGCAAAGAAAAAAAAAAAAAGAAAGAAAAAAATGTGAATCTGTCTTGTCCCTGTGTTTTTGCCTGGTGTGTTTCTTTTCCCTCTAACTTTTGATATCTAATCACATCATTAAATCTTCCTAATATATATCTGAAGATAAAAGGTGGCAGTTGTAATGGAAAGAACTGATCACAAATTATTTTTTCTTGGCGATGTCTGCAGTAAATTTGTAATATGCTTAAGAAAACAGAACAAATCTTACCAATAAATTGAGGCCATTTCATTTTGAATGACTGTCCACTGAGGATCGTCCTCACTGCAGTTGGCCTCAGAATATCATTGACGTTGGTCACAAACAATCTACTCTTTAATATCCAGGATACAAAGTCCCTTTGACATCTGCCATCTCCATTCCACAGTCAAACTCTCACTGGTGCAATATTGGCTGTAATTGAACTTGCAAATCGCTTCAGTTTCTGAAATGCTGACTGCTTAATTATGATGGGGAAAATAGCATTCTACAGCCATAAGCTCAGATAACTGTTTAACTCGGAAACTATGTAATTATATATGTGAATAATACTTGCTGTGATTTATGTTAATACCAGTGGCAATATGCAGAAGGACCACTTGGCAGACCTTGTCTTACTTCATTGTGGAAGGGAGCAAAGAAGCAGAATGAACCACAAAATAGAGAGAAGGGAGGAAGTGCAGGACTGGGCCTTGCTTCCTTTTATCCCAAAGGTGTTCAAGTTCACGAAACAGGCTTCAAGAGATTGTTCGGTTCAACTCCCAGCTTAACACACAGGTTTTCCATGGGGTATTGTCCAGTCAGTTAATTTATCCTCAGCTTCAGGTGTGCATCTGGAAAACAAGGACTGCAAGGACCCTGTTTTTCAGGCATACTCTGAGGACTAAACACAGAGATCAGTTTGAGATGCTTCAGTACTATGTCTGTGTGAATTGACCTGAGTATCTGTGTAACAAAATGGAAGCCTGTCTTTCTGAACACTGTGTGATTATGATGCCACAGTTTTTTTGAGGAATTCTGTGTATGAAAACTACTGTGTTTCAATTTAGCCTGGAGCAGGAATAACAAAGCAACTTTAAACGTCCTAGTCTGGCTGAAAAGAGTGCATGCAAAACAACACGGAGATTCTGAAGATGACTCTGGATGAGCTATCTCAAACATCAGAAGCTGCAGATCACTATAACATAACATGGCTTTGCTGGTTCCCCATGTAGTAGCTATCCCATTCAGATCTTACCCATTTTTTCCTGTATGATGTCACTTGTGTGGTATGAAAGTACACCACAGACCGTATCTATATCCCAGTGAACTTGGTGCAGAGTGTTTCTCTTAGATGGATTTTAGCTCAAACTAACTCCATGATAGTGCCTGATACTGTTTGCATTCATAATGTCTCTCTGGTAGATTCACACAGCAGATAGGTTGATCGTAAATCTTTAGTTTCATGAAAAGCCTCAGTGGTGGTTTTTTTCCTGGTTTTCTCCATCTTACATTTTTTCTTGTGAGAAGGAAAGTACGTAGGCCTCTTGTCTGTGGATAATTAATTACTCTATAACAAAGCAGCTGTGGAGCCTGACAAGATTGCACTCAGATTACAGTCTTAAAATAGTGGATGGACTCTGTGTTTTTCCTTCCAACCATCTTAAGATTGTTGTCATAAGAATTAATGATAATTGCATTGCTCTGTATTGTCATTACATTTCTTGTCATATGAATAGGTTCATTTAGTGCCACCATCTTGGGTTGTTATGAAAATGAGGTATCTGAACTTAAGCTGTTATATCTTTTCCTCTCTGATCAAGAGCCAAATCCTAGGGTGCAAGCACAGATTTTAAGTAAATACTTTAAATGCGGTATTTGCATCATGTGGTTTCAAGCTTTACAAAAGTGATGCAGGGTTGCCCATTACTTTTTCATATGCTAGAAAGTTATGTGTAAGTTTATATGTTATAGGATAAAAATGGATTGACCCTAAAAGGAGAGAGTAGCAGAGTTAGGAGTAGAACTGAAGTCTTCCATTTTTCAATGCCATAGTCAGTTGACTACGTTTTTTTTATAGAGATATTATGCAGAATATTTTGGGTTGGAGACAGAGGTAAGACATTCATTGTTGGGAGTCACGAGGCACATAGCTGCTTCAAGGTTCTTCAGAGATAAACAGAAGATCTGTTTTACTATAGGCAGTACCTGAATTAACTAAAGCTATGTGGTTGAGTAAATTACAGATGAAATCTAGACAAAATAACAAAAATAAAAGGCAAAGAAATATGTCTCAAATTTGTTTGGTTAAGCATTAATCTTCAAATATAGACTACTGGATTATTTATTTATTTTTTAGTCTAAATGTACAAATCAACACCCTAAAACCAACTTTATGCAGAAGGCTTAACAGAGAAATTCATCCTGATGTAATAAGCACAGCTCCATTGAGATCAATGGTGATATTTAAGCTAAGGATAAGACTCAGCTTTCTAATTTGCCAGCAGCATATGAAATGATCATTTATGCTGGCACTCCAGTGAGATATGAATTGGAAGACAAATACAAAAATTACAAAGCAAAGCTTAGTTCCCAGTTGAAAGGTGGTGCATTTAGTTTGTTTTGCAGTTTGGTTGCATTCCTATACACACACTGAATCATATTCAAAAGAGGTCAAAGTTAGCTGTTTCTTTGTGTGGCGCTCTGTTTGCTGGTTTCTGGCTTTCCTCTGGAAAGCATGCTTTCTTTTGTCCCTGGAAGACCCCTTTCGTTGATAGGCTTTGGTTTATTTTCTCTCTTCTTACAGCCCTCTGTAAGTCTGATTCCCCTGTGCCCTTGATTATCTGTAGACACTGATTATGAAATGATTTATCTCTGGTACAGGTAAAGGGATGTGTATTACTTCCGACTTATATGGGTGAAAATGAAGTCATAGTAACAAAAGAATACATGAATAACTAGGTGAAGGCCAGTTTGATGATTATATGGTCTTTCACACAGACCTTTGTATAAGTGTACAGTGAACATAACATCTGTATGTTGCAAAATCTGTACTTGAAATTAATTGGTGCTTTCCCTGGATCTGTGTTTCTCTCAGGACAGATATCAGTGGATGGATTTATGCGGTATCTGAGTGGAGAAGAAAACGGCGTTGTTCCACCTGAGAAACTGGATTTAAATGAAGATATGTCTCAACCACTGTCACACTATTTCATCAATTCCTCACACAACACCTACCTCACAGGTACAGTGTTGGAGAGATCTGATTTCTTACCTTAAAAAAATTCATAGCATATTTGCAGAGATAACCGTAAAATATACTAAAAGCATCAACAATAAATGATGATGGAGCTTAGTCTTCAGGGGAGCAAGGGTAGCACTTGATTGTTGTTGTAGCTGCTACACACATACATCAAATATACTTTTATTAATAGGTGAGCAGCAGTTGTGTTATTCAGATAAGGCCTGGTCTGAAGCCCAGTGAAGTCCTTGGAAAGTTTCCCTCAACTTAGATAGGATTCCAGATTAAGGACCTTATTTGGGGAGGAGAGGGAACAATGTATTTTTATGACAACCAAGGATAGCCAAACGAGTATGCAAAGCAGAATATGGGAAACATCTCTGTATCTAATAAGTTTGCCCCTAAACATTAAATCTGACAGTTTGTTGAGCTCCATGAAATTTGCTTTGATTCAGAGATTAGAGAGGTTCCAATATGGCACATAGCTTTCTGACAGTTCATTCATATCTGCAAGGAATGGAAATCTGGTCTCCGACTGTATCTAATGTCTGAGCTGAAAGTTTTAGGTGCTATCGTGTTTTTAAAAAGGTTGAGCACCCAGAAGCTCCTGTTAATTTGAATTAGAGTTTATGAGTCTGAACTGTATTGGTTGCACAGCAAAGTCAACAGTGCTTTAAGATTCTGAAAAAACGAAGACAGTTCAGGAATCCAACTTTTGGCAGTAATTTTCTAGTCTAGGATGCTGTTAACTTTTGAGAAAATAATTGTAAATTTACTATTTTAATTTAGTTTATGTAGGAACAAACATTTTAGACAAGCAGATGTGCACAGGGAGTTCTCTCCTATTTGATTTGATGTTTGCTTTGTCTTGTCATGATTGCTGATAACTTAGTGTTATGTTAAAAGACAAAAAGAAGTAATGCTACAGTATGTGCTAAAAACATGGCTCATGGATAACATAGACTTTTTAATGTTATTAACAGACTTGCCTTAACTGCCCAAGTTCTTCAGAATGCCAGTATGCCAAAACATAAACAAAACCATGCAGTGGTGATGCCCAGTTTAAACAGACCATGTGGTGATTACTTTCATCTGTTTTGTGTTTGTTATAGCACTTTCTACAGCACCTTCTAGTGCTTTCATAAAGCAAATGAACTGTCATTGTTTCCATTAGACATCATTTTTCAGAGGTTCATATCTTGGCTGTAAAATGTGTTTTGTGCTAAAACTTGTCATATAAGTATTCAGATTGACAGCTCTTTTGTTTCTCTGAATTAAAAGAAATGAAAATCAGTGTGGCCACTTCTAAGTTATGATTCCAATATGCAGAAATTTATGCTCTTTGGAAGAGTGCAGACATGTCCAAAGGAAAAGCGGTTTTTAATTATGATATTTTACAGGCCTCTTACCTCCAGTATGGACTTTGTTCAGTCAGTGAGGATTAGGACTCACTTAGGCCGAATGCTGTAGCTTTATACAGATTTCTGCAAGAAAACAGTAAAGCTGTTGTACAAATGTGGGAAGCATAGGCCCACAGGGAGGACAGACAGTGCAGTTTAAAGTTGGTCTCAAGAGATAAAGTACTGCTCTCCCCTCTACCAGCATGAATTAATAGCCGTTACCATACCACAGATTTTTATCAGGGCTGATCAGGACAGTCATGTTCTAACGGTCTAGAAGCACAGAAGCCAAAGCACAAAGAATCAAGGATGGGAATTCATGATTAGTCCAACCTATTCTAAATGTTTTAACTGCACCACAAGTGACCTAAAATATTTAATTATTTTAGGAGAAAGAAAGTTTATCTTGAAACTTTACAAATTCGCTTTGACTTGTATGTGAAAGTCTGCAAATCATCTCAGATTGCATCTACAGGTTTCTTTGCCTGCATTTCTAAATAATTTCAGAAGCTACATTTGGAATTATGATCCTCAGTCTTAAGGTAACATAAAATTCCTGGCTTAGTAAATTGGGGGGAGTAAATCAGAGTAAACTCGGGAATAGTGCAAAGTAAGTTTGAATCTCTTTCAAATTCCATTTCAGAGTGTGTACTTTCACATTTACAGGCACAAAACACATGCCCTTCCCTTTTAGTGAGTTCATTATGTTCAGTAAATGTGTGGCAGCTGGCCAACAATGGGATTAATGGTTTGATTTTTATCTGCATATTATAAAGACTGACAGCCTTAGATTTTGCTTTGAGGCTAGACCAGATACAGCAATCACATTGCTATTTGCTTTCTTCCAACAAGGACTTAGTAAAATTAATAAAATTAATGCTGGCAAACTGTTCTTTTTCCCAAGAAGATTTCGAAGGGTCTGCTCAAGTGCTCATGGCTTTGGAAGGGAAGCTTCAGTAGCACCTCTGCCCTCAGTGGAGCTGTGAAATAGTAACTAGTCATGTAATAATTATTAGGACAATAAGAAAACCATTCAGTCTAGCAATACTTTATGATTACTGTGCTTAATGCCCTACCAATTATCTCTCCCTTTGTTAGTTTTTTAAACCCAGAAAAAGCATGCACAAAGAAACATTATAACGTAAAAAGAAACATGTGCACACTCTGAATTTATTTTTAATTACACTGATCATTTTCCTAGCCTTTAGTAGAAACCCTTGGCAGTACATCAAGTCCTGATTATTTATTTAGAAGTGTTACAGCTTTCTTTTTCTTAGGGAAATGTAATTTTTAAGAACAAAGGTAAAAATCCATGAAGAAAGAAGTGATTTATAGTGAACCTAGGCTAGCTTAAAGATAAGTCATCTTTTGGAAACATTTTTTTTAACTGTCTCATCTTTTTTCTCACTGGTATCATATTTATTTATTTACTCCTTTCAACCCTTAATGTGCAACCCTGCTTTTTTCTGGTTTCTCAGCAGTCTCACCTCAGGTTGCTGCTGTTGTCACAGTGGGGAGTGACTTTGCAACATTTCCCTCAGCAGCACCCAAAGTCAAAGACAAATGATTACCTGTCATTATCAGCATTGCACACTTTGATGGCTATGCAACTTGCTGTTGTATATGTGAAATGCAAAATATGATAATCATAAGGCTTTAACGTATGTTTTGTCTTTGGCTAAAAGGAAAAATAACAGCAGCAGTAAGCTGCAGAGCTATCAGTTTAGCGTGCATAGCCAAAGTGGGACTATCCCATTCATCCTCAGCATCTGCGTCCTTGCTTACAGTCCAGTACTTCCAGTTGTTTCTAGAAAAATGTCTCATGAGGGGCATGTTCTCTTCTTCTTTATTGCTGCTGTGGCCTCTCCTCTACTGTCCTCCAGCTTTTCTGTTCTCAGTGATTCATAAGTCCTAACTGTTGTTGCTTATTATCTGCATTCAACACTTCCTTGAAACCTTCTTCACCTTCAAAGCCTCCAAAACAGTATCTTCACAGTTTCCAAGATGACAGCACCATATGGAAGGGAAGGAAAGCTGGGTGATGCCTGCTCTGAGCATAAGTTTGTCATACAATCAAGAGCAGTTTTTGGCTGGCTGCTGTGTTGAGCTCAGGTGATCAGCGGATGAGACCCAAGGCTCTACTCTCTTCCAGCCCCACCATGTCCTTCCTGATGGACTAGAGGGTAGGAAACCTCAGGGAGCTCCTGCAGCAGAGACGAGCTGAGCTGAGGAGGAGCCATAGCTGTCCTTCTGCCAGCAGACCCAGCTAATCCTGTCCAGCAGTGTTAAGACAGATTAAGGAGGTTCTTCCTGGCACTGGGGTCACAGTTTATCTTAGCACGAGGGCTAACAGGTGAAAAGAAGGAGTAGTGGTTGCTGTGCAGCTCTTCCATCCATCAGCAGTTTACGGGGGTATTTTTTTACCTTCCAGCTGTCGTTACTTCTTGTGATTCCCCTTCAGAATATCATAAAACCTTGTGTAATACTGAGGAAAATGTCTCACAGGAAGGAAGCTACAGACCACTATCTGGGCCCAGTGGCCTGTTCAGTGCAACCACGGAAGTTACTTCCAGTTATGTCGTTGAATTGACTATAGCCATTTAAAAAAAAAAAAAAAAAAAAGGCAGCAGAGGGAAGGCTGTTGTTGCTTCACAAAGTGGAAGATAGTCTGTGTGGAATGTCTTAGATGGAACTTTCTGAGATACCAGTTATGTGCCCTGCTCTCAAAAAAAATCCTATATATAAAAAATAGCTTCAGTAAGATGGTGATTCCCATCTGCCTGACTCTCTTGCATGTTCCTCTGAGGCAGTTTGGCTTTTGTGAGAAGATGACTACTCAATTAAGCAGACTCTGAGTAAAAAATCCTTGGGTCTCCTGCTCTGTCATATTTTTACATCACTGCTCTAATTTTGACAGCTGAGTGTTCATACTAGCACTGTTAAACCTCAGTTTATTTTTTTGTTGTCCTAAGCAGTACCTGCCCTCCTTTACCAGCTTTTCCAATGCAATTCCCTCTTTCTTAAGCCATACTCTGAGGGAATTTCTACTTTTAAAAGTGAGTGGAAACCTTGTAAAAGGGAGAGGAAAAAAATCATATAACTTGTGTCCTTAAGGCAAAATTAATTATTCTAATACAGATCAGCAACTGACACCAAAATTTCTAAAGGAAGCTTGCCTCCAGTAGCAGCAGAGGTGAGCATAAAGAGTTTTAAAAAAATATTGTTTGGTCTGATCTGAGATAACTGGATTTTCAAGAAGGAGAAGAAAAGTCAAGATCATGAAAGTGTTTTGTTTCCTTTAAGTAGTATTTCATTCACTACTGCTTAGTGAGTTTTCAAGATCCTCTGCGCCTTCTCTTATTTGCCTCTTTAGGCCAACTAGTTGAAGCATATTGAAATAAGAGATATGTTAGTTGAAGCATATTGAAATAAGAGATCTGTTATTTTCTAAAACCCCCTCTTTAAGGAGGCTAGAACTGTGTTGAGGATTGGGCAACCTCTCTGACTCCAGTAGCAGCATTTGAAGATCTTCATATAGCTGAAATCTGTAAGAGAAAGATACGGAGAGCCAGCAACAGGGGAAGGGCTCTGTAAGTACGTCCCAGTGGGTCCCACTCCCTCACTGCAGTTGGAGAGATTCAGCTGGTCATGCAGTATGTCTTTCTCGAGTGGGTCCCACAGCTAGGATGAGGGTTACCCCATGCACCCCAAGCCGGAGAGTGTCTGTTACATAGCCTGGCTGCAGCGTGGGAGCTGCCCGGGCACTGCTAGCGGCTGAGCAAAATGCAGGCTCAGAGGCTGGCCAGTCCCAGGCCTCCTGGCGTACACAAGTGTTGCATAGAAGATGCATAGAAGCAGAAGGCTTGGGTGGGCCTGAATCAATACTGACAGCAAGTGTATTCCTGCTGCTGGCTGGAGCAAGCCTGACTGCATGTCCTGCTTTGGTCCAATGTAAAGTGTTAAAAATAACAGCCATAGGTTGACAGCCTTATTTTGACTTACATACAAGCAGTACCAGAATATGTCACAGGGGGCGGTCTAATTCACTTGTCCTGTGTGTGGCAAAATAGCTCATCAGGAAATTAAATTCAGATAAATGTACCGTGTCTAAAAAAACCAGCCGCCAACACCTTCTGTTGCTTCTGGAGTCAAGACCCAGACTCCCAGCAGTATGGGGCTCTGCGTTTGCACACTGCAAACTACAACATCCAGAGCACTGATTGCTTTTCCAGGACTTGCCTGAAGAGACGAGGTTTAAACAACTCATGTTTGTGCATGGCAAAGGGAGTATACAGGCACGTCTTCATGCCAGGATAAGGTGGTGCCATGGGTGGGCGTGGGGGCAGAAGCAGCCTCTGTTTCTGGAGTAGTGAAGAGTCAGGTGACTCCAAATACGCAGATCCAAATATCCCCCCATTTGGGGAGGATATGTATCTTAAAATGGTAACCAAATTTTAAGCCCATGTATTGCAAATAACTTTCACTTGGAAAAACAGTGATGAGTGAACCCATCAAGGATGCACTTGCTGAGAAAGGAGCTGCTTAAAGTTATAGAAGTGTGGAACTGACCTGTATGGGGAAACATGGGTCATATCCTCAGCTTATATCAATTAGGACAGGCTCATTTTGCTTAGTGTCCTGTTAGGTATGATTTGGCTGATTATATTTTTTAGAACAGTGAGTTTTTGTAGAAATCTGTTTCTCCTTATCCAATATAGGGTGATGGGGTACAAATATTCTGGTATTACTGTAGATGCTGCATGTATTATAGAAGGGAATACATAATGCTTTCAATTTCTAGTATTTAAAAATTGATCAGTAGTCAGGATATTAAAAATACCATACTGTAAGTATTCCCTTTAGTGTCTGTGTTAGCACATTTTAGAATGCATCTGTTAAAGGAATAGTTTGGAATAGATGCAAATAGAGACTCACACAACAGAAATTTATAAATAATATATGCAAAAAACATTTGAGGGAACATTCCTAATATTCGATATTTCAGAAAAATATGCTATTGAGACTATTAAAACATTTGCTAGCATTTTGCACTCCGACTAGGAGTCTTTCTGAAGATTGAATGTTTTGAGGTTGAATATCCTCTTATCCTTAGCAGGAATTCTTCCAAAACATCTGAGCCTTATTAATAAAGTAGTGTGGGGAAGTGTCATATGGCAAGCGATGCATGTCATGATTTACTTAAGCACTTTTGAAGGTTATGGATCTTGTAGTCCAAAACGCTTAGCAATAATAACAGCCAGTAGTCTCTCAGGAAGTATAGCAGAATTTGTTAATAATAAAAATAGTTTGTTAATCCAAATTCAATAGGCTTTGAGGGAAAAGAAAGACAACATGAAAACAGTTTTCTAAGTGAATGTAGTTTTTTAGGCAGCAGAGTTCAGCAGATCCATATACTGAGAGCCGAGTTTTCATAAGCAGATGCTTAGAGGTGAGTGCACAGAAATGTGTGCTATTGTACCCTGACCCATGCTCGTGCTTGTTTGCATCTGCAAAGAAAAAGAGCCAGTGCTTATCCAGACATTGGGATTGCACCAAAAAGGCTTTTGTGTGAGTAAAGATAATCTGCCATAATGAAAGGGGAAACACAGGAAAAAATTAAGTAAAAAAAGAGACACGTTTTCACTTTGCTGACTCTGCGTTTTCAGAACCTTCCAGCACTGTCCAAATTCTTCTGTTATTAACATGTATTTCCCATTGGTTCCAGCAGGAGCTGAGAAATCTTATGGATTTCAACAGGACTAATGTTAATACCTTGTGGAGTATTTAATGATTGCTCCAGCTCATGTATCAGACACAAACACTAAACAGGAATTTTCAAATAAAAAGGGTTTTCTGTTACAGTCTTTAGTGGAAGGTAAAAACACAGAGAAAGCAGACAATGCTATTTCGTGAAGCAAACTAAAACATGTAGTTCCCAGCGTAAAACCCTAAACACAGAACCACAGAGACAATAGAATGAGTATTAGAGTAATCTGCATTATATTATATGCCAGTCTCGATGAAGTATTTAGATGTCCCCCATCGGTGAAGAATCTTTAGTGTAAATGAACTCAGTGCCACCTTAAAAAGCAAGTGAATTCCCTTCAAGAAATCCAGCAAAGTCTTCTCAGGAAGGCTGCTAGAAAGCAGGAAACTGCATCTATTTTCTTCACATCTAAAACAAGCACTAAGCCTTTCTTCCATTATCTTTACCTCTCTGCTGCAAGAAATTTGTATCCATATGACTGGAATCAAACCTGTTACAGCAGACGAAGACACTCTGGCTGGATATCCTTCCCTGAATACAATTGGATTTCTTTCTTGCGTTTTTGGGGGTTTGCTTTTGGGGGAGGGGAGTTTCATACTTCCTGAGTTTGGGAAAAGCTGTTTTCCTTGTTTATTTTTAGATTCATGTTATGGCCTTGTTGGAAACTGGTAGTTTAATTAAATTTCTCCCTACATAATGCAGTATCACATCAGGAAATTTAACTGACCAGCTCAGTGCGATGATTAGCGTATTAAATATTGATTTGAGACCTAGTAATGGTACCATTAGTGACTGTGCAGGAGGTTTGTTTAATCTTGTATTAAACTGCATTGCTTGTTATGAGAAAATGTGATCTTGCTGTCCTGAGTCACCTCTGAATTTCACATTGCTTGTCAAAGGATAACAAAGTCTTTTAGAGCTAAGCCATTTTATTTTATTTTATTTTATGCATTTGATGCTGTCTATCAGAAGTTTTTGAGTTGGCTTCGGTTTGGTTGTTGATCCTCACTCACAGCAATTTAACCCAAACCTAGAATCCAAACCATGACATTGACTCTGCCTAAGTTATTTCCATTATGATGTTCTGCTTTCTGTATGCCTTGGAGTGTTATTCCTCTCAGCTGAGGGTAAAAGATGCTGTTAACTTTAATTATTATTAGATTATGTCTATTTATTCCCGAGGCCCAAAATGACTTTCCTTTTTTCATGTTCTTGTGCTGTCACAGCTGGACAGCTGGCTGGTAACTCATCAGTGGAGATGTATCGGCAAGTGCTTTTGTCAGGCTGCCGCTGTGTGGAGCTGGACTGCTGGAAAGGACGAACAGCTGAAGAAGAGCCAGTCATTACACACGGATTCACTATGACAACTGAAATATCCTTCAAGGTACAGCAACACAGCACACGGGTGTAGCTGGCTTCAGCTGGGGCAGTTTCTTTCATGTAAAATGCATCACAAATACATTGCTAGAACATTACTGCGTAGGTGGAAGGGAAGAGAAATGTGAGGGCAAAAAGATGTTTTAGGAGGAGATTTCAGAGCATGTGCAGAATCATTGGAAGAGAAGAGTTGCAGTATTTGGACCTTGCACAGGAACAGGTTCTTGGTCATCATGGCAATTGAAAGAAAAGGGATTATATGGTGTGATAGCCTGTACCATCTGAGGCCTGGGCTCAGTGCCCAGGTCCATACTTCTGTGCGTGTCCCTGCAGCACATCTCACAGGGAGAGAAACGGGTAGACCACAGTCAGGGCTGAAAGACCAGGTGTTGCCACCACAACTGGTTTTACACAGTGTAAAATGGGTCTGCGGATGCGTCTGGAGCCAGGAGGATGGGGAAGAAGGACTGGTTTGTGTTACAGCTCCATAGCGTGCGGCAGGGAGGAGAGCTGAGATGAAGGCTGCAAGAATTTGAACAGCGATAAGCAATGCGTCAGTACACTCTTTTTCTCTTCTCTGCCTGGTAAGTGGGAGTGGGAGACACGAGTGCTGAACTGAGGCAGAAAGCAGCAGCTATCATGGAAATCTCTGCAATTTGCAAGCCTTTAAATTCCTATGAGCAGAGAATAGGCTACTCATGCCCAGATGGGCAGGTCCCATCTACAGGGTCCAGACACTCAGCATTATATTCACAATTTAAAAAACTAATAACAGTGTGTGCAGTGTTACTCTTATCCCTGATACTTGGGAACAGATCTGAAGCACTAGAGGATGAAAAAGAAAAATTAGTATCTTTGGAGATTTTGAAGGGGATATTTGTGCCATTTAGACATTAAACATATCAGCCATATTACTGAATTTCATCTTCCGTTTCCTTTTTTGATAATAAAAAGTAGATACTATACCCTTAGCAATAACCTTAAGTTGTTATCTACTTGGAATTCTTAAAGATGGTTTTGATCCAAGGCGTTAAGAGGAGCAGGATGGAGGTGTTTCTCTATAGTATTAAGATTGGTAGTCAGCACAGCTTATAATGATACATCAGGATATCATTTTTGAAGTGTGAAGAAATAATTCTTGTTCATCTGAGACACTAACTCACCATGGAAATGCATTTCTGGACTTACCTGTGTGCAAGAAGATGTGGAAAAAAGTTCACTACTGAATTTGGTTATGTTACAGGTGTTAGGTGTGGCTTCTCTACTAGCTACAGCTTTGAAGCATGTCTCCCACGCTTGAAGCACGAATTGTTGGGTTTGGGGGTTTTTTGCCTTCTAGTGCCTTCCTTTAGGAAAAAAAAGCAAACAATGCTGCCACACAGACAAAACACCAAGTTTCACTTACACCAGAACACTCCTTTGTTTTTTCAGTTTGTTTTGTCTAACTCTTCACTGATGAGTTAATCACAGGAAAACGTAAAACAACATTCTTGCACGTTTGTTGTTAACTTTTCAGTTATGTTTGTATGAAGCCAATTATGTTTGTAGGCATAGAGTTTGATTGCTGGAAGTCCTTTAATTAAGGAAGATAGCTCAACTCCTTTGGTCATGAGCAGGAATTTAAAACAAAGTTAATCTGATTCTTAAAAGGATCATTAGCAGAAATGAGGATTATTCCTGGTTATTTACATGTTCAACCCTAGGCATTGTGTTGACAGGAGAGATATTGGAAGGTATTTTAAACCTACTAAGGAATATTTCATCTGTCATTTCAGGGCAAGTATTTTTTCTCCACACAGAACGTAAAATGTAAAAATGTATCGACTGCTGGTTTCTTTTCAACACTCAAAGTGTACTGCTCGGCTGAGGAGGAGCAAAATGGTAGTGAAATAATGTGTCAGAAGTGTGTGAATCAATTCAGAGTGATCACTGGGTCTTGAACGCTGAATCATTTATCAGCTCACACTTTCGGCATGACCATGGCACATAATGCTTCTGTTCAGTCTGTCAGTTTTCCCTGCCTCAGATGGGCTTTCTGAAGCGTGGAGACAGAAGCAATATATACTCCCCATCATCATGTTGCTGGAGGTTTTGTGGTTTTTTTGTTTGATTGGTTTTTACCTTGCTTCATGACATACAGAAATCAGTAAGGTTTTTCTCAGCTGCAGATTGTGAGCTATTGCCAGGGTGAGATTTTATAGGGAACCAACAATATTTTTCATACCGTAACCAGGAATCTGTGCGTGTGTACTTTATATATACCTTGAAGACCTGTTTCAGGTGAGTCATTCTGCAGCTGGAGTAAAGTATGCAACTTACCATGGTGTTCCTCTCTGACCATAGAGAATTTGCATTTACATTTGAATGCAGTGCAAGACTGAATCAGCAGCATATCTGTTTCTCCACTGAATCCATGCCTGAGCTTCTCATCCTCAGATTTCATCTGTGTAATCCTGATTTTACTCTTTCAGGTTATTTCTCCATGCATGATGGGTTTCATCCCTTCTTGCAGTTGAGAGGGCAGTTGAAAATAAATTTATGGATTTACTCAGTAGCTTGAGCACTGTGTAGGAGCAAGAAGGGCCTAAAGACTGCTTTTAGCAGTACCTCCTATATCCAGCCTCAAGTGTTCTTAAGCCCTGCATGATGCTCCATAACCACAGGGAGGGTGCAGGTGGGTGGAGACCAAGCCAGTGCTAATGATCTGGGTGGAGAGCATCAAGATGGGAGGACTCAATATTTGTAACCCAATTCTTAGCACTGCTGTTCCCTTGTAATGGCAAAATTGCCTTAGATACTTTTGAGAATCCCACCGGTTCTGAACAGCATTAAGGTGGTACCAGCACTTAGTGATTTACTGGAGCTGGAAAGAAAGTGTGCAGCAGGAATCACTCCATCGTGCGTTCCCCCATGGGAGAACCGCTGCTGTGAAACTGCAGCTTCCTACCTGCTTTCACCCAGCCTTCTGCACCATTTATTATTCTTCCAATAAATGCTTTGCCTATCTGCTTTCTTTAAAGACTAGAAGTGGTCTTAGTTGAAGTATATGAATGGTTAGTGATACATGAAGCATTTAAATATTTGGTGATTGCAGTTTAGTAAATATAGTCATTCACCACCTGTGTGTGCTGAGAGCAGTAGTTTCTCATCTTATAAGAGATGCTACAACAATTTGTGCATGAGCTGTGTTTTTTTCTACGTACATGAAGACTGTAAATTTTGTTTGTATCCTAGCTCATATCAGCAAATCTTGAGATGGATTGTACTTTGCTTCCAGCTCTGGATTCTGCAACCCAGCATCAGAGGAATGTACCAGAAGCTCAGCTTTCATTTTAGGAAGCGGATTTCTTGCTGTTACACTTCTCAACTGAGCCTTTAAAAGTACAGAAAATGAACAAAAGTAATCCCCAGAGGAGGCTTGTTTAAAATAAATAAATCTTTTAGTTTTTAGTCATCCTTGTGATTTGGGAGGGAACAGGCTTTACAGGTTCTTACAAACTCCAGAGTTTGACATCAATGCATATGGAAAGTCTTCAGTGTTTTATAAGTTCTTTTGTAAAAACAATTGTGTTCCAATTGTTACAGAGTCACACCAATAGAGAAACATTGACTGATTTGTAACAGTGAGTACATTACTGTATTATGCACCCCACTAAAATTAGTGTTATCAAATGATTTCTCTACTAGATTTACAGTTACCATTTTCCATCAGAGCTGAAAGGAAACAGTTTCAGTTTCTGAGCCCTCTGTTTGATGATTACTACACAGCCAACTGTTGTAACTGAGTAATGTTTTTTCTTTTTTTCTTTCTTTTGCCTTAAAGAGATTTCTGTCATCAAAAAAAGAGGGAACTAAAACTTGTGAGTCAGAGTAACTAAGGATTTTATGGATACGTGATTGTGCTGCTGATGTTTAGAAGACACACATTTGTCAGAGCATGTTTATTATTATGCAGAATAGTTCATGAAAGTCATAGCTTCAGGCATGGAACAACTCCACACAAAGACCAAGTTTTACATTTAAACTATTGATTTAGGCAGACATAAGTCATTTCTTGGGAAATGCAGTGCTTGAGGCTCATCAGACATTTTGGAGATTTGATTACAGTTCAGGTTGAAAAATTTGGTTGCTGCAAAACTACATCCGGAGCTTTCTGGGATGTTAAGAATGGAAGGTCTGATTTCAGGCAGTTTGGGCATTATTTCAGACCTCTTTGGGTCTTTTCTGTCTTCAAAGACAAAATGCTGTTTCTCTAGAGACATAAATTTGTAACTGTATGTATTTTGATTCTTTAGGAAGTAATAGAAGCTATTGCTGAATGTGCATTTAAGACATCACCCTTTCCAATCCTCCTTTCCTTTGAAAATCATGTGGATTCGTAAGTAATTACCATGTTTTCCTGTATGGTGTTACATTTTTTATAAGGTCTGAGCATGGAATTATGTATGCACTTGTGGCAGTTTTATTATATGACATGATCAACGGCTCTTACCCCACAAAAACTTGTATTGGCTTAAGTAACCACGTTGATCAGAATGAATCAGTCATGTTCTTAAAAAAACCTTCCTGAATTAAAACCTTTTGTATGAAAGAGAAAGTTTGAATAATTGTGAGACAAATTGCGTTAGCTTTACAGTCTTGGTATGTCCTGCTGGAATGTAGTGGTACTTCAAAGAAAAAGAAACAATATTTCACCTGCTTATGACCCTATTCTGTGCTATAAGCATTTTCAGTACACAGAATTTGGTCTGTTTCTCATGTGCTGGAAGTAGAGGCCAGAACCATAGACTAGCTAGGATTGTGAAACAGGTGATATGGATGGCCAGGAACTGTTTCTTTTCTACCAAAAAATACCAGTTTACCTAAGCTGTTTTCTTTTTGGGTTTTTTTTCAGTTACAAAGAAAGGACAATTTTTCTGTGTAAGAAAAGAAAAAATAAGTGAGAACACTTCTAAATTTGTCCCAGTGATCTATATTATTATTATTATTATTATTATTATTATTATTATTTTAGTTCTGATTCTTCTTTTTTAAAGTTTGACATTAACTTTGGGTTTGAATGTAGAGACCGCATGGTTCAAAGTGGGGTGACATTGACACATAACATGTGCCTTAACCTCAATTGCCTTTTTGCCTTTTGTTTTCTGCTGTGAAAACATTTTCAATGCTTGTGGGGCCAGTTTGGACTGAGAAACTTTTTTTTAATGTGAAGTAAAAAGTAATCTTTGGGGCGGCTATGAATGATTTAATACAAATCAGAAAAAATGTTGGCACTTCTGCTTCTTAAAGAGGAAAAGGGTGAGGGCTAACTGCTTTTCCATTGTTTTAGGAAGAACATTCATGTCATAAGGGAAGGAACTGGTAGAAGAAGCTATGTAAGAATGTTTTTAAGAACAGATGTGACAATACTGATCAAAAATTATGTCGGTGGAAAAATCTAAAATCTGAGAGCTGACCAACACTACCTGTATGTCTTACAGTATAAGTTTACACTACCTTTTTTGGACAATTATGTGCTTGCTCTGCACACATTTAAAGGCCACATGGTTATGATTCAAACAGCTAGCTGTTAAATCCTGCTTAGTTAGTTTTGTCTTCCTCTGAAAGACCACACAGATACTGCATTTAATTTCCTTCTCTAATTGGTCCCTTCCGGGTTTTTTGGTGTAAGTTATATCACTTTGGACTTGCTTATGCTCACCTACTGCTGTAGGTTTTAACTTGCAATGCTTTTCTCAGTGCTTCCAAATGCAACCTCTGGTCTTTAGAAAAGATCTCAACCATCATTCTTCAATGTATTGTATTTTGTATTCATTCTTCTGTTTTTGTTAAAATATACATTCACTGCATTACTATAAGGCAGAGAAAAAGCAACGTCCAGTTTATTTTAACCAGAAGGGTTACATTTTTCTTCCTTTAAAGTCATTAAGACTTAAATCTTCAGCTATTCCAGGGCAATCTGTTCTATTTTAGGGAAGTAAAGAAGTAAATACTTGTGTAATATAAACTCCTGTCAGATATAAGTTACATACAAAACTGGCTTTAAAACTGTAAGATGAAACATTGTCAAAACTAAAGGTGATGTGATACTGCAGGAACGTGTCAAAAAGGGAACAGTTACTTACTGCTGCATTACTCCAATCTTTAGAATTTGCCCTGCAGAAACCATTGAACCTTTCTCTTCAGAAAACTCCAGTCATGGAATAATGAATTATCCCTAAGCGTATTATTTGATGTCCTTTTCCATGCACTGCTATGACATAGGTTTTTAGCAAAGCAAGTCTGCAAAAACAGTATCAAGTATTTTCTCTATCTGAGGCTTTATTGCTATTTATTATTTTTTGCTGCAGTAAATCATCAGACTTAATGAGTATGATTTCTAATTTTGCTTTGGCTGAAAATAATTTCTAGTTATTTTACCAACTGCTACAATTATCTCTTCATTTCTTCACTAGTTGCTAGAGAAATCTGCAATTAGTCATGCCACTCACAGAAACCTTCACCTAATTTCATGGAATGCTCCGTTTGTCTTTTCATTTACTTGGAATGTTGTTTTTCTCCTGGATCTTAAAAGATGGGCTTTGCCCTGAGTATTAACAAAAAATGCTAAGTGTTTTTATAGAATTGCTGTCAAACAAATCTTCTGACATCAGTTTCTACTTTTGGGTGACCAAATTTTTCTTCTGATTTTCAAGTTACAAGAATCAGTATTCATGTATGAAATGCTGGTCCCATACAAAGCAGTGGAAATTTTGGTGTTGGCTTAAACAGAAATACGGTTTTAGCTTGTGTTCTCTATTCATGACTTTTAAACAGACTGCGATTATCAGAGGTAAATAAGTTTTACATCACCACCATAGATGTGACAGCGTTAATTACCACTGGACTTAAAATGCAATTTTTCTTCCTTCTGGTTTATGTTCATGAGAATATTTTTAACACTTTTTGTCCACCTAGGGAACAAATCACTTGTTAGCACATAGTGTTAATCATCTCATTTTGCTTTCTCTCAATGTTTTTCCTAGAAGGACTTCTCTCTAATGTCTATATAGCACATGAAGAATTTTCATTTCCTTTGCTATAACTCCATTATGTAGTATATTTCTTCTTGCCTGTTTTTATACAATAAAAAGTTTAGAAAAAGAGGCAAGCATATAGATTTTAGAATATATAAAATATTATATATACCATCATTTATATTGAAGGGAAAACATGCACAATGAAGAAAAGACAGTACTGAGAAAAAATGTGGTTCTGTCAAAAAATAGAGAAGTGCCTTGAAAACATTGAAAAGACCTCAAGAAGACCTTGACGTTTGAAATTGGGCTTGCAAGAAGATAAGCAATCTGCAAATCTAAAAGCAGACACTCTATAATTAGAACTGTACTGATGATATAGCAAAAAGGTTAAGTGATCCTTGAGCAGTATCCATGTAAGATTGCTTCCAAGATTAAATTTAATTACAGTTATTCATATTGCTGGTTTCTTGCTGGAATTGTGATTTCAAATATTAACAGGATTTTTATCACTTTTTGTTCTTACACTTTAAATTATTTCAGAATCTTCTGGGAAGTGTCTGTGTCTTTGTCTTATGCAGAAGAAGGATCTCTGCAGAAGTGATGATAATATATTGTTAGGAGCAGTAGTAGTGCAGTAGTGCCAAAGAGCCTCTGTGATTGACTTTCATAATAGGCATAATACAAACACAGTAAAACAAAATACAAGCGGTACAGTAATAGTAATGAAAACATTTCTTAATATTCTTTGTATTTCCATATCTCCAGGTATGATGTTCCCACTTTATCTTCCCTTGCCCTGGCACATTTTGGGGGCATATATAATTAGTGTATGTGCTACCCATCCATGTCTGCACAGTGAAAATCATAAGGCAGATAAAGTCAGCTCTTTTCAGGCAATCGATTCTCATTACAATACATGAATGCTGAGAGACTTTCCAATAATAGTAGATGTGGACTGGGAAATACCTGCTTTTTTGTTTCATAACACAAATGGGGAAATATGTTGATGTAGAAAAGCTGGTATTTCAATCTGTTGCTCTGGTTCATAATTTTTAAAGAAGGGAAAATAAAAAGAAACTGATATTCCAGCTTTTAAACTACTATAATAGTAATACATAATCTGTACTATTACTAATGATCTATCTCTTGAAACTCTACATGTATATATAAAAAAGAGAGAGAGAACACAAAAACCCTACCACTCAGTTAAATGCTGGTACTCCTAAATATTTTTTATTCCCTCTTAGGAGCTTTTAAAAATAACTGTGCATATAGTCCAGTTCACAAAGACAAGTAATTTTGTAATGTCAAGGTTTTCCTCCTTTGGCCTTTCTACTACTGCAAGATTGGTTTATAGTATTAAAAAACGTTAGTTTTTTACGTATTTTTCCTTTTCCTTCTTTCTGCTGCTGGGATGCAGTGACATTGGAATGTAAACGCTAAACAGAAATAGTGTTGCATTACATTTTTCTCTTTTGCAAAAATGAAAGTTCTCACTGTGCTCTCTTTGAGGTAAACATGTAAGTAATCACAGAAGATCAGAAGAATTTGTTCTAGCTGTGGTGATAGTTTGAAATTTATTAGATCTAATTCTTGCATATTTTGGGGGGATTCATATCAAGAGTTCTTTCTGGAGTTGATGTGCCCATTTAAAAATGCTGATGTCACATCTAATTACTACAATTTCAATAATTGTGCTCTTTTGATTCAAGAAGATGTCCTTTGAATTTTCTGGGTTCTAAGAGCATGGGTCTATTCAAAATATACACTGGTGGCGAAGTCGGAAATAAAATTTGCTATAATGACCCTAGACTGATAGCAAATACCTAGTCTGCTTGCTTACTAGAGTGAGGCGCCTTTATTTTCCTTGGTAGCTGGCGGTTAGGAATAGCTAACGCACTGTCGTAGCCTGATCTATTCTTCCCATCACTTCCCTTGTGGGTTCTTAGTTCCACTGCCTTGCTCGTCTTCATCTTAATTTTCCATCCTCAGCTAAAAGTGGCTTTTAGCTTTTTTTTGCAGAATTGGCTGCACGCAAAAGAAAGCATTAATGAAATGCTGTAGTGATTTAAACTGCATGAAGCACTTGCATAGCTTTGTGGAATAATTTAAAGCCTCCTCACAATATATTTTGTCAGTGACTGAGCTAATGACCAGTTCACCCCCTATCTGCTTCAAGGGACATCCAGAATGCTGATCTCAGGGAAATTACATTTTCTGATTCAAATGCCACCCAGCCTTTATCTCAGCTCTGGTTTGGCCTTGCTGACCCCAGGAAGAGCTGCAGTGCCAGGTGCTCAGCTGGTAGCTAATGACAAACTAGACACAGTAGTGGCTGTACTCTTGGTTCGCAAGAGAAAAATGAGCACTCCTTTTTTCCTATATACCCAGCTCTATTTTGTCATGAAAAATAGCTCCATGGTAACATAACCGCGAATACCATCCATGTATCTTCCATGATACGCAGATCATAATTAACAATAGTTGAGGAAGTTATATTAAGCAATATAAACCTGTCCTTTAATCAAGACTTCTCAACAGAGTGTCAAAAAAGGAAACTTTTAAAAGTACCTAAGCCCAGATGTTACAGATTTTAAACAGGCACATATTACAAAAATAGACAGTTGTCTAAAATTAGAAAGAGAGTGACTGTAGCAATGAGCTGCATTTTAAGATGATTTGATAATATTTCCAAGAGTATAACCTGTCTTCAGTCCTAAAACTCCCATCACTGATATATAGGAATTGTTTCATTCTTTGGTTGCACTTTGGGAAAATTGATTATAAGCCGAGTTTACTGAGGTTCAGTTTACTTCTAGAGGATGTAGTGAAAACTGCTGAAGTAATTTTCTATGGTAAAATTTGACACTCTACCTGATTTTAAATAAAATTTAAATTTTTTTAAAAAAGGAATCTGACCACATACCCAAACAAGCATAAAATGATCATTGAGCAGCTCCACCTAGCAGCTTGTTATTACATCCAGATCCCCGCTAAGACGACTGTCCTGATATGTTGGTCCCAGTTATATACACATAACATGCATGCTGCATGTAATAGTATGCATATAAAAACACTTATTACAGCAATTCTCCAAACTGAGATAATACATCTTAGCAGTAGCACAATTACATCTACGCTATGACTGCCAGTGAGGATATGTCAGGGGAAGTAATTCTGAGTGAGCTGGTGAGAACAGTGCAAGCTTTTGGTGCAAACCCAGCCCAGGAGGTCTGCAGATGGGTCGTTGCTTTGTTGTGGAGCACAGTGCAGAGGTGCAGCCGCAGCTCCAGGCAGGGCTGCGCCTGAACGGGCTGACACGCTGCACAGGCACAGCACCCACCTCACATGGGCTGACAAATAGGGTGGGAAAGTGGACTGCGTTTTAGCAGAAAATGGGCAGTAAAACTAACTGCATTTTAGAAATCTGCAGTAAAACTAGCTGCTTCTCTACCAGTGCCTATAACTGATGCAGCTTTGCTGGTTTTGAGACCCAAGTAATGTCTTCTGCCCCTTCTTCTGTATGGCTGTGCCTTATGGACATGCTGAGTGAGGCGATAGGTACCCTTGGCTCGGGAAATTTAACAGAGACACCTGCACAGGAGACTCCTTTCTGTGTAACTGTTTTGGGTTTTGTGCCCCAGATCAGGTATGACAAAAAGACAACAATATCCAAATGGGGTTGGGGGGATATGTGTGTGAGAAGAATGCCAGGCATATGTAGAAAGTAACATAAGGAGGAAAATACTTAAACTTCGAATAAAAATGTTGCCTGAAAGATGCAAATTCGCGTAATGGTTATTTCCCTAAAGGTAACAACTGACACCCTCATTTTTTTATTTTCTAAGTGCATGGGAAAATATACCTCAATGTTAAAGTTCAGTTTCACTATTATTCAATTGACTAGTGCCTTTACTTCATGTGTGATCCTTTTGATAAGCTCTATCAGAGGAATGGGAATAATTGCATGATATATCTAGGTCTCTCTGAAAAATTCACAGCAATTGGATCGGGAAATTATATCTAGTTTAGGGATTTTAGATATTCCATTACTGCTGCTTTCACTCTGTAGCATTAGTAGGACTCATTTCTTTCTTTCTTTTCTCCCTTTTAGCCCTAAACAACAGGCAAAAATGGCAGAGTACTGCAGATTAATATTTGGAGATGCATTGCTTATGGATCCATTGGAAAAATACCCGGTAATATGGTTTGGTATTTATCAGATCACAAAGATCTGTGTGAATTGTTATTTAAGTGTTTCAGTCCTGTGTCATTCCTCATACACGGCCTTTCAAAACAGAGTCTAAAGGAGAGGGTTAAACAACGTGAGCTGTTGGTGACTTAAGCATATAATTTCTGATGCAGAGATTGTTCTGATACAGTGAATTGTGATCTTCTAAATGCAATTGATTCTCATAGCTGCCATTTTATAATGTAGGCTTTCATATTTGAACTAATACTTATTTCAGTTATTGCTGTAGACATTTCATAAAGCATTTTTCTTTTCTTCTTAAGTGCCCTCAGTAGCCCTGTTTCGTTTAATGTTGAGATTACCTCTTGTGCAAAATACGTTTCATTTTAACAGGGCTTATAGAGGTTACAAAATTATCTTGCACCATGTGGGCCCTAAGAAATTACCATAAGCTCGTTTCTTTTGTTGTTGTAATAAATTTCTCTTTCTTTTCCTGCAAGCTTGAACCTGGGGTTCCTCTTCCAAGCCCCATGGATTTAATGTATAAAATTCTGGTGAAGAATAAAAAGAAGTCACATAAGTCTGCAGATGGAAGTGCAAAAAAGAAGCTTTCGGAGCAAGCTTCCAACACATGCAGTGATACGTCTAGTATGTTTGAACCTTCCTCCCCTGGAGCAGGTATGAATTGAATCTACAAATATATTTGTCCCTAAAACCCAAATGCTTAATTATAGCTATCATTCAGTCCATTTACATTGCTCTAGCAAGGTAAAGGTACACCAGTGTGGGCCTTACTCAGTAGGAAACAACGCTAAGTGTCATTGATCCAGGAGTCTGTGAAGGCTCATGGCTGAGGAATCACTTACAGAGTGACCGAAAGCTCAGTGGTGTGTAATAACATTTATCTGCACTGCTTAGGAAGTAGAGCAAGCTGCCAAGTCCTCCACCCTTGGGTGCCTTTTCTATGTGCCCAAGCCTGATATCAAATATAAATGTTTTCTGATTTTTGTTGCCTCAAAGATGTACCTACCATTTGGTGCCCTTTCAGACTTAACCCATTACACAGGAGAACTGCAGTGGTTCTGTAGTGTCTTAAGATTTAGGGTAACTGTGAATGAGATATCTGTTCCTTGGGCAGGCAAGGCTTAACCCTCTGTTGTCTTGCATTAGTTGGGAACGCATCACAGACCTCTGTGCAAAGTGCTATAAAATGTTCTTCTGTTCCGGAGATAGAAACAGGCAAAAATATTACTGCAAACAAATATTTGTTACCACCAGGAATTGTAGGGAATGTAGCCAATGGAAAGCAGTGTATTACATTTGACTTGTTCATTATTAGCAGAATTTTTAAAATCAGAAATGAAATAGAAAAGTTACTATAATTTAATGATCTGCAGGGGACCATTGTGAGTGTTGGTATGCAAAAATTAGTAAGAGATGGTCTTTGTTCTGAAGAGCTTGAAACCTAACTAGAAAAGGCAGAAGTGCAGAGGAAAAGATAAAGTACAGATTTGCTCTAAACCACAGGAGCAGATTAGCAGCAGGACAAACAACAAAATCTGTATATCCTGATTCCCAGCCCAATTTCTGTTCCCTGCACTAGAATTTCTTCTTCCTTTTAAGACTGAAATTTTGGATTGCTAAAAGCATAGACATTTATGCCCCAGTAGTAGAATACTTATAGAGCGAATTGAAAGCTTTACTGGAATATAAGTTCATTACCATTTGCCATTAAAAAACTTTTTCCTATTGTTTGCAATTTTTTCTAAACTGATTAATTGAGCTGAAATTTTTCATGGTGGCAGTTTGCCTCAAGCTGAATAAAGAAAAAAGAATCCTGCTGTATTGGTGGATAACACTGTTTATCCTATTAGAAGCAAAGAAAGATTTTTCAACTATTGTGTTAAGAAACTTTGAAAAGGGCATGCTTTGGAGTAGGGCTTGGATTTCAAAGGAAGATTCATCCTGGTGTCAGGAGTGATTTAATACTGTTTTCTTGATTTGCTTTAGTCAAATCCCAAGCAACAGAAAAATAAGTGTGTGTATGCCAACTGACTCCTTTCCAACACTTGAAATCAGCCCTGGGATCCTAACTCTACATTTTTGTTACCAGCACATAGTGAGAACCCAGTGGCAAAGTATATGTCTTGCTTTCTGAGTGCCTGATCTGCATAGAGGGTAACAGCTTTATCTTTCAGGAGCCTCTCTATGAGCTTATATAGGAAAAGACCTGGGCTGTGAATCTAGATGTTGATGATGATGCAAGGCAGGGGAGTCAGTCCCATAATAGGGTGTGTAATTTTACAAATTAACTGTGAAAATTATGTCTGTATTGCCAAAATAACAACCTCTGTTAACTGTAGATTGTGAAGATGAACACTTACAAATTAGAAAATGCTAGAACTGAGATTGCAAAATTGATGTGGTCACTTGGTTTATCTGTGACTGCCGAAATATATTACTTGTAATCCTTCTGCCAGCCATTGTTTCTCCTTTAGGACCTATGCCTCTTTTGGAGAATGCAGTTAGTCAATATTTTTTCTCTCTCTGTCATTCAATACTTGATCCTAGATGTAGCATCCTCATCTTGCAGTGAACTTCTGTGGGGGTATCCAGGCTGCATATGAGCACTTGACAAACAGCAGTGAATTTATCTGAACAATACCTGTGGGAAGTGAAATAATATTAAGCCAATTTTATCTAAGGACAGCCAAGTCTGAGAGAGCTTAAGAACAGTTTAGGGGTGACTCATAAGGAATATCCAGTATCTGATTTTTCAAGAATACTTTGAATTTTTAAGTATTCAGAGCACAGCTCCAGAGATTTCAGCTACAGCTTACAGTTATGAGCACGCAGCATTTCTGTAAATCAAATGCCAGATTTCTGTCTGTGAACATTTAAAAAAAAAAAAAATTATTCACCATTTTATAAGACTGCTGTGGCAAGACCCAGTGAAGAGCATGGTTCCATGGGGCAGTGCTCAACAGTCACCATGACACCCTTCTTTTCACTGCCTTGTTCCTTAGGTGCATCTCAATATCAGCAACATGTAATGCTGGAGCACTGCAAGCATTATGCTCCTCTATACCCAGTACCAATTCCTTTCTGGAGCACAAGAGGAGTAATGCAGTGAAAGAGTCACTAAAGGAAGCCTAATTCTTAACATTTCTTAACATGAAGTGTTTCAATACTCCAACCTCAATATAATCTTTACATTTAGTAAGTTGGGCATATTGTTCAAATAACTGTATTGTATTGTGTAGCTCCTGTCAGAATTACTGCTGATTTCCAGGAGAAAGTTGTGCTGATTTAGCTTTCTTGAGATTTTAAATGATTTTTTTCACAGCAGTGCAAAAAATACTCAGATTCATACTTCAGTTGATAGCAGGCTTTGCTGTGTCTTACACTGCTTGAGGTCAGATTTAAACCCAAATAAACCATTCTTCTGATATGTTTATAAAACATATCATATAAAAGCTAGGTGGTGGTGATATAGTAGCAATAGTTAAAAAAACAATTCTGAAAAAAGCTTTGCAGAATGGCTTGCAAGATGTTCATGAAACTGATGTAAAAAGTAACTTCAGTAGGGTATAATATCTGTCAGTGGAAAAAGCTTTCCCTAAAGGTACAGCAAAGCTGGCAAAGCAGAAAAACCATTTCTGAGAAAACACTTGTGACATAGATTGTAATTTTGGTAAACAAGCATCTCAGACCTGGCTGGTTTAGCACAATGAATGCAAGTAAATAGGCAAGATTTTCAAGGAAGTTAGATTACATTGCAAAAAGAACAGTGGCAGTTGTGCAGGTACATACTTTTTACCAAAAGTAGGCCTATGCTGGAAGTAGCCAAAACTTGCTAATTGAACAGTATTTAAATTTTCAAGCAAATTGTTAATTTCTAACTGATAGGATGACGTTTTCGTCAGAGTAGTGGATGCTGCAAGGAAAGAGTCATGGGGAAACAGAGAGAGAGGGTAGAATTGGCTTCATCGTTTCATGGTGACTAAATAGAAAACTGGATAAAAAGTTTTAGGCTCAATGTATGTAAATGCATCAGTACATTGCTGCTGCATGCCAACTGAAGCCATGGCCCACTGTTACAAAGTAAAATGTTTTAGCAAACTGAATGAAGTTAATTTCTTCCTTGTTAAAAATCAGCAAATGCTGATGATGTACAGCCTGTGGAAAAACCAAAAGGTGATTTCCCTATCAAGATGCTGGTGGCTGCCTAAACATTCTAGAGCTAATAAGCTGCACCAGGAAGTACCACATTTATAATCCATTCCGGCTGTTATATTAAAGGGATCTGAGAAAGCAGATTACCAAATTCCTCTGAATTTCAAGCAATGTATAACCTTTATTTCCTTAGCTCCCAATATCTGTCACGCTGCTGAGGCATGGTGAGAATGGATAATATTTAGCACTCTACTTCCTCAACCCTTGCTAATAGGGATTTGGCTTGTCATTCCCAGCTCTCCTAATCATCTTCCATTCGGTATTACTGTGGTGAAACCCCCTACGCATCAGCTGGGATTCAGCCTCCTTTGTCCACTTGTTACGTTGCCCAATGAGCACTTTTATGCCTTCCCCATGCTGCTCCACTCGCTAGGGGCAGCTCCTTGAAAACATCCTTGAAACTGCCCCATTACTCCACTGAGAAGTTTCCTGTGCCCTTCTGCCTATGAGCGGCTGACAGTATCTGCGTTATAACTTACCTATTGTGGTAGGAGCAACATCTTTTTATTTCTTGTTATTCTCCTGTCTGCCTCTGTCCATGGGCAGGCTCTTGTCTCGTACTTGGAGGGCAAGCCTTTGAAGCAGGGCTTTCTATTTTCACTGTACTTGTATGCTACATATCATGGAGAGGTCCTGTCCTGACCTGGGTTTGTAGTCCCACCTAAATGTAAATAATAGTTATGCCATTACAGCTAGTTGTCCCTTAGATAAGCTTACATGTACACACTGGACTTGACCTGCAGCACAGCTGCATGTGCCAGCCCACATGCATTTATGGTACACAGTGCCTGTGCCCTCCTGGGAAGGGATGGGAGTGATGGCATGGGGTTGATCCCAGCACCACTGTGGGAGGGTGAGCATGAAGGTGTCTGCAGCACAGACATCTCAGTCTGGCCAAGGCTTGCTCTGACTGTGTCCCAGCAGTGTAACGGGAAAAGAAGGTTGGGCTTAAGCATAATACCATGCCGCTGGGTGAAAGGCAATGCAGATGTAGTCATGCTTTCTAAAACACTTACTAATTTTTATTCTGTGTTTGCAATCCTGTGTATTATTTGTCCTGGTTTTGCTGTTTGATGCTGAACTTGAAAATGAGATCTGATCTCCTTGGGAGTTTTCCTGTTAAATATCTTTAAATAAAGGAATAATGTGTTGTGTAGTTTCCTCCCTGGACACTTCTAGGAAGAGCAAGCTATCATCTACCTAGTACCTCAGCAATGCAAGTTGGCTGAAATCTGCCCCATGTCCCTCATTTTGTGGACTGTGCAAAGTGTCATTTTGCCAGCCTGGTTAAATCAATTGAGAGCTTCCCATCCAAAGATTGTCACTGCAAATCCTGTGAGAGCTCGGCTGGCTCTTCGCAATGTATTGAGGTTCCCTGAGCCATCCCTTGAGCCTGTTGAGCAATCATGTTATTTTCTTCAATGAAATGTTCAGGAAGAAGTGTGTTCATGAATAAAAGCCTGACATTTCAACATCTGCATCTGGAAGGAAATGCAGCCTGGGTAGTCATCATTTGGTTGTGAAAGGCACACTCATTTAAATCGTGTGCTCTCCATGTTCAGAAGGGGCCCACTGGGCATGATTCAAGGCCTGCTGGAACAAAGAGGAGTTTCTTTATTGACTCAGTGGGCTTTGGATTAGACCCTAAATTGACAGGAGGAACAGAGACTGAATTACCATTCTCCAGAGTGTTTGGGAATGCTGCACAGTGGTTAGATTTTTGTGCTGCCAAAATAAAATTGCCACTGCTGAAGAAAGCTGAAAGGTTTGTGGAATAAAATCTTCAGGGAGAGCTGTCAGTCTTACAGGTGTGGATAGGTGAATGCGGTATAAGTTAAACCTTCTTTTCCAGAGTCTTCTTAAGATGCACCGTGTACATTTTACGACAGCCAGACCCACAGGAGAAATTACTAAAGAGAAAGATAAGCTTATATTCCTTAATGGTTTAATTTCTGGTGCAACCAAATCAAAACATTTTAGAGGTGAGGGGAGGCATTCGTTAATTAACGATAAAGAACCTTTGTCTTGCCCATAGGAATCTGATGAGTACACCGCAATTGGGAGCAAGACATAAAATGTGTTTTATTTGGTCCCATTTACTCCAGCAGTACATTTTCAGGGAAAGCATGAGTTTTATGCATCTTCTTCACATTATTTGGCTTGCACTGCCCTCAGGCGGTGCATTTGAGCTATGCCACCAGAGTCCTAATGGTAAGGCGCACCAAAGCAGTTTGTGAAGGGAATTAATTGAAGTCAAGCTATTGCAGTTAGGCTCCTGTGCCAAATGCTCCCAGCTGAGCTACCTCAGTACATGTACTGTGATACGTTCAGAACAGATGGATTTTGCTGAACAGCCCTTGATACCACAACACATGAGAATCTCATCAATTTTCATGCATGATATCTTCACCCCATGCATGCTGTTCCATGTGCACTTCCCAGAGGGGGTGACACATTCACAGAAGGTCCTGCAGGGGTCTTGCAACAGAGAGGAAGTTTGAAACTCACATTTCCCAAGCTCCAGGGCTGTGCCCCAAACATGGGAACATCTCTTCAGAGTAGTTTGTGATACTATACCTACACTGTGCATACTATGCACACCACAAAGCTCTTTTCTCATGATTTCCAAACACTGAGCATCCAGCAGCTGCAAAGGAAGAGTTTTTGTTTGGTTGGGCAATACTTATGAGTGCTGAAGATGGATGAATCCCTCGAGACAGTGTATTTGATTTGTGCTGTGACAAAAAGCACATGTATAATGCAGTCTCCTTTAAGCAGTGCTACTTGCACATCTTTCTTGAATTTATTGCTGGTAATTATAACTATTGCTTCAGCCAGTAATTATCTTCTGTTTAAAACTTTTCAGGAGAAGCAGAGATTGAGAGCGATGATGATGATGACTACGATGATGACTGTAAAAAGTCGTCGATGGATGAAGTAAGGGGGTAGATATGGTGATGGGTTGGTTCCAGCAGTTGTGGGTTGGCTTGTGTTACCAAGAGTGGGACTACCATCTAGTGGAGAAAGGGGGGCAGAGCACTGGGAAACACACCAAGTTTTTGAAGTTGGTTGTTAATTGGTTTGGAAGCACATCTTTGCTTTGTTTATTTATATTTTCATTTACTGAAGAATAAGAATTAATAGCACCGTAGGTGATCTGGTTTAGACAACTGCTTTTGGTGTATTTAGCATTGTTGGAAGAAAAACTTGACATCAGTAACTTAGAGCTATATTTATTATTTATCCAATGGTATTGATAAATGTGCTCAGCGCTACGCATGTGTAAAGGTAATGCAGTCCCTTCCCTAGGAGCCACGTAAAAAGAATGAATACAGCAGCAGCTTAATTAAACACTTAAATTTTACAGCAAATTTTCTTCTTTACTGTGTGATGCCCCTGATGTGAGGCATTGACTTCACTAAGCCAGGATCAGTGAAAGATATCACGGCTGATAGAAAAACTGGGCTTTGGTATTTGTGGCCTCTGATGGCCACCATAGACAGCAGCATTTTCCTTTCTCTGTCCTAGGGTACTGCTGGAAGTGAGGCTATGGCCACAGAAGAGATGTCTAATCTGGTGAACTACATTCAGCCTGTGAAGTTTGAATCATTTGAAGTATCAAAAAGTAAGCTAAGCTAAGCATGAGCAACATCTTATACTGAAAATTACCTAGCAAGTGTTTGGAAGAAAGTTCTGGAGAAACGCTGCTTGGCTTCCTTGCTGTTAGACATAGGCACACAGACAGAAAATGTTCCCTTGGTATCCAGCCAAATAAATCCATATTTATTTGAAACCTGTATTAGTCTAAATATCAAACTTCATCACCAGTAAACATGCTGCCATTCCAAAAACATTTTTGAAAATGTTGTACTTAGATTGTCTTTGTTGTCCATGACTGAAGAGTAACTTAACCAGTTTGAGAAAGGTGGTCATAAATATTCCTCTGGATTGAGCAAGTGCTTTATATTTTGCCTCTGCTACTTTTTTAGAGGATTCAGTATAAACAGAATCTGCCCTTCCCCATGTGCAAATTGACTCTTTCCTGCCTCTGCCTATCATATAGAAAAGGCCATAATTTCATCCCCTGCTGGCTTTTACGGAAGATGCTTGCTATTAATGCACTCAGTGGCATCCTTAGTAAACACTGCACCATCTTCTTCCTTTCTTGGTGCAGAACCCCCTACTGTTTGCCTGCCCTTTTTCACTTTGTTTTGACAGGTTTCAATATGCTCTTGGAGCTTTTTAGTTAAAGAACTGTATAGCATTTTAATTTATTATGGATTTGTGGGGGCCTTGGCAGAGGATAGGTAATTGGTGCCTAAGTCCATATCTGAATACAAGATTTTACATTTACTTGTGATGAATAATAAACATATAGAAAGTTATCTACCTGTTCATTTATACGTGGGTATTTATACAGACATACACACAAGCATTCACAAACTCATGTAGAGAGCTATGCCTGTTCCCTATAGTAGTGTCCCTTTGGATGTTTATAATCTCCTCTAGCTCTAATGAGAATTGGAAGAACACAGAGGGAAGGAGATATTCCTTCTGGAAAGGAAGCCATGTGAATCCTAGCAGGACAAGTTGATGCAGCTGTTATAAAATGGTCATGTGTAGTTTTCGTCTGTTCACATGCCTGTGCCTTTCTGAGTTTTGTCTTTTGTAAAGAACTGCGGATGTCCAGATTTTTTATCCTAAGTCTTGATGTGACCTTTGATCAATCATACTGTTTCTGTGAACTCATAATGTTAAGGAATTAATATTTCTGGTGTTTGTGTCAAAAAAATCATAATGTGGTAAATGTGGCTAGTTAGTTAAAGCAGTGGCCTTACGTGGTAAATGGTGCTGGCTGGTTAAAGCAATGGGCACTACAGCATGACTGGTGGGTTCTGGTCTTAGTCCTGGCCTGGACTCACTGCTGGACCTTCATTAAATTCAGCAAAGATGAGCTGAATAAAGGAGGAGTTAGATGAGGATTTTTTTTTAATTTGCTGCCTGCCCAGTTGTTGCCCAGATTTTATTTTTGTTCACCTGACTTAATTTCCCTAAGTGTAGAGCTCCATACTTGTGTTTTATACAGTTTCATTATTTCAGTGTTACAATATTTTTCTGATTTAGTATTTTCTAATTCAGAATTTGTTTTGATTTGTGGTCCTGGCCTCTATGGTGATGATAACAATACCTCACTGCTTCTATCATTCACACATTTTAAAAGTGTGTTTTCTGGTCTTGCATCCAGCTTATTAACAGAAATATTGAATAGCACTGGATCTGTAACAGTCCTCGGATTGCCCTTACTAGATATGTTCCCTCTCTCTGACAGCAAGTAGCTGTAACTATATTTTTTCAAGTTTTTCATACGTTTTTTCAATCAGCTGTTTGTCCACTCCATAGTAACTTCCTCCTGATAAGATAGCACCATGTAATGTATCATGAGAGAGAAATGGCTCTCCTGCACAGTCTTTTCTTCAAAGGGCAGGTTTCTTAATTCTCTCCAGATGCTACAAGGAAATAATTGTTCTTATTTTAATTAGGAGTTTGGTTAAGCCCTGGACGTTTAGTAACCAAATCATTTAACAGCTACCAGTTCTGGTTTCCTACAGATGCTCTACTTTAAGATAAGGCTGAGAGATACAGTATATTACTACAACAAATTCTAACACCTATATTCTAAATGGAATAAAACCACTATATATGTGTGTTGCTAGTGCTATCCCATTAGTAAAGGGGAAGGATGGAATAAGAATAATCTCAGTGCCTTTATAAGGAGCTGAGATGGAGCTGAGCTCGCTGGAACAGAGTCTGGAGAAAGGGAGGATATTACTTGTTGGAAAGGAAGAGGAGTGGTAGGAGAGCATCCTCTAGGAAACAGCAGGAATCTTTTGCCATTAGGCAATAACAGCTATGAATAATGGCAGTAACATGATGGTTGCTAATTAGAAATAGGGACAGGCCATAATAAAGTCTGAGTCCCAGCTCTCCTAGAGGGAGAGAATCACTTTTGGAACACCATGGTCATCCTCTGACTCTTCAGTATACACTGAGAATAGTTTGTAGTTCACAGGCTGGCAGCACATTTTCCTCTCACGTTGGCCAAATAATCTAGCTCCTCATTTCTTTGGATCAGCTGTTTCCTTTTTGGCGTCCTGTAAGGAAAGCTCCCACCTGTTTCTGTCCTGTTTCTCTCTGCAAGACAAGTGCTTTTGTTCAGTTTTATGCCTCTCCTGCAGCTTCGCAGTTTGACTTCAAGGAGCTGGCCAGGCTGGCCTCCTGGCCATCCCTGGATTACTGCAGCACAATTACTTCTAAAACTGGATGAGGGCAAGCCTTTTCTCTGCCTTATTGTTTGCTTTTGATAAAGTGGTGAGGCTAGAGAGTTCATGTTTCAACACAGGCACTGTTTCCCTCATTTCTAAAGGGAGCGCTGCTGTGATATCTAATGGCTATAACCTCCCAGCACGGTGGCCCCTTCTAGGCAATCTACATAGCTGATGGTGATGAAATGGGAAGCTGTTATTTTACAGGAATCCTTACCTTCTGTACAAAAGTGTAAAGGAAAAAATACTGAAGCTAGAAGGGTCTTGACTTAGACTCTCTGCTACAGCATGTCACATGGGTACATTCAAAGGCTGTGCACACATCAGGCAAAGGTGAGTAACAAATGATACACAAATGAATGTTTAGTCCTACAGAGTTAAAAGCTTAGGAGGAGCCTTTCACCACTGTCAGGTCAGAAATTTTGACGAAATTAAAGAGGTCATAGAAGCTCCATATTAGTTCAGGGTGAGGTCTGACGACCTGCTGGGACACAAGAGTGTATCTTCAGGCTTGATTAGATAGCAATGTTTCCATGACTGTTTGAGACAGATGTGACCTTACCCTGACATACTAAAGATAACAAGAACTGCTGTAGGCACAGCTAGCACACTGCTTAGTTTAATCTGATACGGACATTAGTTATTATAGCTTCAAATTGGCTCAAAGCCCTTGCATCTGTCTGCAAACACAATCTAGAGATCCAGCAGGGCCCTCTGAGTTCCCCACAAAAGCTGCTACAATACCTCTGCGTCACACCTGTGAGCTTTGGGCTCTACCTCTCAAATATATCAACATGGTATTTTGCAAACAAACATGAGAGATCTCTGCCCGTGCCCTGACTTTCTGTTGCCTGCAGCTGGTACAGTAGCAATCTCAGGCAGTACCAATGCCCTTAATTTGGGCAGTGCTAATGTGAGTTCAGATGGAGCTCTTGAGTACGTGCAGAGTGAGCTTACTGCTGTCAGCAAACGACTGTGTATGTAAATTCTTTGAGATCAAAGTGAAATGAGCTGGTGAATAGTAGATGGGATAAGGGGACTGAGACTAAACCTGTTGTTTGTAGCTCACGTATCGCATATGATTTCATGCTCTAATGTGTCACATTTTATTTCCCCTTTAAACTTTCAGAACGCAACAAAAGTTTTGAAATGTCTTCCTTTGTGGAAACCAAAGGGCTTGAGCAACTTACGAAGTCTCCTGTGGAATTTGTGGAGTATCCTTGACTTTCAGAAAGTTGCTTTCTTAGCCTTTCTATATCTGAGATCTGTTACAGGGCTTTATTGAAATTTAGAGACAGGAGCTGGGGAAATAGGGAACCCAAATAAAATTTGTAGATTTGACTGTCTTCCTAGATGAATTAATTGGCCTGAGTTCTGATGAGCTAATTTAAAAGCTGGCATGAGTCCTTGTGCTGTGGGCTAGGACTAGAGGGAATAGGCATAAACTACATATTGAAGACCTAATACTTTGTATTCTCATTGTTAAATTTATCGTCCTGTATGAGGTGGCATGAGTTATGGTGAGCAAATTGTCAGAATGTGGCTGACTTGGTTTTTTGCAAAGTGATATGAGAAAGTTTACTTTCCCATCATACATCTAGTTCTAAGAGCACTGAGCTGTTTCATTACCACGCAATTCTTTTTTTTTTTAAATAACTTTTAAAGAAAAGCTAAGGAGCATTCTGTTTAGACCTTTTGATGTTTCTCAATATCTCTCATCGTGCCTGCAGTTAAGAATGAATGGTCAAGATAAAATAGTGCCTTAAAGAAGATTAATGGAAAGCTATTTCCACAGATAACCTGCAGCATGTTCTCATCTCTGAGATTTGTAGACTCAACTGTAAGAAGTGTACACTCATCATTTCTGTATGTGGAGGCCAATTCTAATGCTTATTCCAGAAAAGCACTTTTTAACCAAGCACCTCTTCCCGCTCCAGAGGAAGATTTGCTGTTTACAGTTAATTGGCCTCTATAAATGCTATCTTAGGAAAATCCCAAATTAGTAACCATAATGATAAATGAAATTTTATGAATGCTATGTTTTTTATGCATATGCCTGTGCTATTTCCTTGCTTATTCTGAGTACTCTGTACAGGAACAAACAGCACCTTTAATTACCCTGTATTTCTCATATCTCCTACAAAATTGTGGACCTCTGGAAGCATTATGGTTGCAGGAATCAAATAAGGAACCCACTGCCATTCTGTAAAGAACCTGCATTTAAATATTGCAGTTGCACCTCTTTGCAAAGTGATTTTTGTCATATGTACTATATCTTAACTACTCACCATTTAGATACAACAAAATGCAGCTAAGCCGAATTTACCCAAAGGGAACACGTGTAGATTCTTCGAACTACATGCCACAAGTCTTTTGGAATGCCGGCTGCCAAATGGTTGCTCTTAATTTTCAAACTGTAGGTAAGTTATGCTGGTCTCCAGATTTTGTAAGCTGTACATTTCCACTTCTCTGATACAGTTTCTCATTCGTAGGTAGGAAAGGCTTTATGTATCAAAAGATGTCTAGTGACTGAATGATACTACAAAGCAGTTAATGAATATCTTTAAGAGGTGTGGGGTTTTTTTTTAACTAGGAATATTCATAATTATCATGCTGTTGCTAGTATAATAGGCATACATGATGCACTCCATATTGTTATCATTTGTAAGTGGTTACCACTGAGCAGCATTTCAGATCTGGCAGGGATTTTTTCCCTCTGTCTTCCAAAATCTCATTGTGTCAAGACATAAGGGACTTAGATAGCAAATTCCACTTTAAAAGTGAGGTTTTAAGAAACAAAGACATTTGGGCTCCTAGATGCACAAGTCACTTTTGAAATAGAAATGTGTTGTCTTCCAAGGCTACGTCTGTTCTAAGACATACAAATATTTCCATCTACTGCATACCAGAACATATCCTGGTCATGTTCTGCCTCTGGGCATATGGTACCATGGTATCATTCCCTTTTTCCTTTCCAGTTGTGCCCATGAACATACCACCTTTTCATGGAAAGCAAAACCCCACACAGGCTGGGAGTCTGCAGAGTAATAAAAACCTCTTTGGGCCAGTTTCAACCAAGTAGCAGGCACCCGGTGTCTGATGTTAGAAGGGGTTGGAAACATAAGTACTCTGCTGGGTTGGGTACAACAGTACAATCAGTACAATACTGGGGTACTCAAAACCTAAGTGTCAAGGCTTCTTTTAAAATTTGAGAATGTTTTCTATTGAGTAGTCTCTGAAAAGTGTTACAGATGTCTTTTTCTTGTCAAAAGAATCCAAGAGGGGGCTGCAATCACAACTGAAGCCTCTAAAGCAACAGTGTGCCATAAATAGCTGTTTACATTACAGTCAGTTTGAAATTACAGTAATTGTTATTATTTTATTGCTTTTTAAATTATTATCTATCCAGAACATAATTCTTATCAATATTTTTAACACCTAGATTTGTCTATGCAAATAAACATGGGAATGTACGAGTACAATGGCAAAAGTGGATACAGGTTAAAGCCAGAATTCATGAGAAGACCAGACAAACACTTTGATCCATTTACTGAAAGTATAGTGGATGGAATAGTAGCTAACACCTTGTCTGTCAAGGTATGTACGCAGCTGGTGAAAATGCTCTCATAACAATGTCAGAGCATAGCTATATTTCTGCTGTGCAGTGGCCTAGCAAATGACTATACTAAGTCAAGAAAATAAAATGCATTTCATTTCATGGAGTGATATTTCATTTTTAAATACTGCCTCACACTTCATATTGTAGGATAAATAAATGTATTTTTATTGTACGTATTCTTTTCCATAGAAGTAATTGGGAAGTTAATGGATTTAAGAGTAGTTTGGCTGTGGTTTTAGTAACAAAGGGCTGAATTTAAAACATGCTGTTATGAAGTAGTAGGTTGGACTGAAATAGCTAGAATGCTACACTGTTTAGTATATATAAATTTTCTGGTTCTCTAAGTTCTCCAGTAGAACTGTGGAACCATAAATGTCAGCTGCAATTCATTGCCAACTTGCTTTTCTTCGTTCCTTTGTAAGGACCTCTGATGATGTTCAACGATTGCCAGGAATCTGCAAATGAGAACTACTTGTATGAATGTTTAGAGGGATAGATTGCATTGGCTATGACAGGATCAATGATTTATACTTGGTATATGTCTAGTTATAAAAACATAAACTTTCTGAAATCCTGTTATTCCTTTAATGGACTTGTCCATTACAACAGCATCAGTATTAAAGAATCCACCTGCAAAATTTCCTCCTGTTTTCATTGAGAGAAAACAACTATTTCCTCTCAGACTGGAGACACAAGCGTAGCAGAGCAGTGCTGTGAGGGATATGAATAAAGTAATAATCTGATGACATGCATCGGTAAAAAAAGATGACTGTGTGGGAATGACCTTGGTAGTGACCTGTAATCATGGAAGCTTTCAGCTCCTCCTGTGGGTTTAGAGACATTTTGTTGTGCTATTTTAGTAAATGGAGGTGGAAGTCATTCAATAGCTATTAGGAGGTGCACAGCATTTTTAACAGGAATGAGCATCCAGGAGTCATGAAACAGCTGTCAGAAGTCAGCTGCTTCTGCCTGCTTGGTGAAGACTCTGCTGATTATAATGTCAATGCCCATACAAGATACAGCTGAGAAAGAATTAAGATTTGCTTTAGGCAAGCCTCAATTTGTTAAGGTACAGTGGCACTGCTACGTATTCCTGTACATTTTCAGTTTTCTGAAGTAATTGCAGGCCTTTCTTTAACCTTTTAAAGCTGAGAGTTGTTTCCTGTTAAAAATAAGAACTAGAAGAGACCAGCTACTTTATAGTTGTTCTTGTTTTCATAGTGAAACTCCTGACCCTCTGTGAAGAGCCTTTATTAGAATACCAACTTTTTAGCTTGTTTTATCCCTTGCAGTTAAAAGCATATGTAGTTTCTCTGCTGCTTATACCTCTTTTCTTCCGGCATTTTTTGAACCTGTTGTTGAAACTGGATAGAAATTAGAGTTCTCAAAGATACCGTGTTGTGGAAAGAGGCAGCCAGATTGAGGGTGAGATCCAAACAAGTATTCCTGCTGAGGGAAGGGCAGCAGCATGATCTCAACCACATTATCGCTCATAGGGGAATTCAGGACCACAGAGTCACAGGAAACCAGGCCTCATAAGTTGTTTTTCTTTGTCTGCAATATTAAACAGTGTTTTTTTGTTTATTGTGGTTTTGGGTTTGTTTTGCTTTATTTTAAATGCATACTATCTGATCGTTAATGAGAATTATCCACCTGCATTTCAGCCACTCATTTCCTAATCCACCAAAGTGGTCTCTAGTGATCCTCCTTTGTTTTGGTTTTAGATAATTTCAGGTCAGTTTCTTTCTGATAAAAAAGTTGGTACCTATGTGGAAGTCGACATGTTTGGCCTGCCTGTGGATACAAGAAGAAAAGCTTTGAAGACCAAGACCTCTCAAGGCAATGCAGTTAATCCTGTCTGGGAAGAGGAAGCCATAGTGTTTAAGAAGGTCAGTGTAACACTTGCTTCCCAAATGTGCATTGTGCTTGTTTTATCACTGTCCAGCAGGGTAATTCCGTGGCTTACTGAACTTTTGCATTTGTTAGAAAGAAGAAAAAGGGATTCTGAATAGTTATTTCTTGAAGTGTTTATTATTAACCAGTTTTGGTGTAATTTTGCTGCTCTAGTTGTGCCAGCTCCTACTAAAATAAACGAGTTTAAAGTCACCTTGATTGTTTCACTGACACAGCTGGAAGCAGCAGACATGTCAGTAGACTCATCTGCATGGCACGGTGCAGTGCCATGCTATGAATGAGCAAGCGCAGATCCCAGCAGCAGTTTAGCTGAATTACCATGGCATTTTGCCTTGGCTGAACAGCCCTCCTGTTAACCTGTGAGCAAGACGATGTGAATACAGCTGTAACAATCTGGCTGTCCAAGCTAGCACATTCAAAGCAATCTGTTATCTCTCCTTAGCACTAGATTGTGCTATATAAATACAACCTAGGGGGTGAAACCCCATAAATCCCATCCTCTCGAAATGAGACGTAGGCTCCTGAGTTACTCATGCAATTTGAACAATATTACTCAGACTTAATTCTCTAAACTTTGAGGGAGTAGAAAATATCGAGCATGTTTTCGGATTGTGCAGCGTTAATGTCTTACTGTGCTTCATAATACACTTGCAGTCTGTTTTTTAACAGAATCCCTGGGTTTTGCTTATTGGGCACTGCGTTTAAGTGGATCCTGAGTCCAGGTGTTTGTAAAACAACTTCTTTCATATTTCTCTCAGCAAATGTAGTTCACAGAGATGTTTATACAATTGGTACTTGCAGCCCCGCTTTCTAGGGAGTACAGCGCTTTTCCCTGAATATTTGGCCTTCTGAATGACTTTCCTTTGGCAGCCTGCCAGAGCTTAAGTTTAGAAACATCACTAGCATTTTTCTTCTGTAATGAACTTCTAATTAGTGTACTTCATTTCTCTATTTAGTTAACAGTTGTGCCTGACTGCCTCTGTGCTCAGAGAAGCATAAATTACTATTTTTAGTAATGTTGAAAATAAATTAGAGAAGCTCTTACTTTTGGATTGTTGCTTTTTTTTTTCCCCCTTTCATTGTCTAGATAAATTTTAGCATATGTTCTGAAAAAATGCATTTCTGTGCCCAGGTTAAAAATGTGTGTATTTCTATGTATATTTGCATTAAGTAAGAAAATTAATTAATTATGCTACACTTTTTTTTAAAGGAATATTAAAGATTCCTATTTTAGTAAGGTAGTTTAACATTTTCTGATTTCTTGTTTTCTTTTTTCACTGTTTGGCCTTCTTTCTTATGTAGTGCCAAGAAAACATCCAATGCTAGTAAATGTCCTGCCTGATTAAACCTCTTTAGCCCAGCCAGTGAATGTGCTGCAGCACTGGAAAATTCTACTGGGGTTGACATAGTTCATGTAATTCATACATTCACACTCTGCAAAACAGGTTGAGTTGCTTGTTGAGTTTTCAACACTAATATGCCTGTCAGTGACTTTTCTTAGAAGTAATCCCATTGGTACAAACAAAAGGAAAAAAACATGTAGGGCTGTGCGTAATAAGCAGGAAACAGAGTGGCATTCAAGAGTGATAGGAGTTCAGCTGCTATAGTCCCTTGTATCATATTGAAAATATAGGGTCAAATTGCTGGGTTGAATATACTATGCACGCATCCCACTTCAGGTTTCTTGATTGAAAAATGCTTCTATTAGAGTTATTTTGACACACAGGTGCATACACCCTGACCTCTTTCTTATATGTAAGACCTTCCTATGGATATGTAGATGTTAATATCTGCTAGACTGAACTTTCTGTCTGCTATATAGCCTATGTCTGGAAGGAGCTGTTTCATTCAGTGCAAAAAGTTAATAATGCAACAATATTGCTTTCTAGGTTGTCTTACCTTCCCTGGCATGTTTGAGGCTAGCAGTGTATGAAGAAGGAGGCAAATTTATTGGTCATCGGATATTACCAGTCTCAGCAATTCGACCAGGTGAACTTTTTTCTCCATTGAGACAGACATTGTGAAAAGTGTGAAGAGTGAAAAGAAGCAGCAAGCCAGAATCCCAGTGCTGTAAATCAGCAGCCACTCTGCAGATTTATAGCAACTAGGGATTTGAATGATCTGTCTCAACTTTGAAATGGAAAATACTGTATTTCAGCAGAAATTTAAATTTGTAATGAACCAGGAAAACCAATAGAATTACGCATCAGAGGCATGGTTGGCACTTACCGGTCTCCAGTAGATCAACTGTTTGTTCACAGTTCTATGCTAAAAGATGCAATTGTACACTTTTAAGAGGAAAGAGGGCAGCAACAGCTAATTTTGATGTCATCTTTGTGAGAATGGAAGATTGCTGGGAATGAAAAAAATATGCTCCTCTAATGTAATTTTTGCATGCATCCAAGGACTGACCTATATGCAAGCTGTTGTATCTTTGCAAAACCTTTAAATCAACCCAAAATAACTTTTATCTTTATTGCTGAAAATTTAAAAAAAAAAAAAAAATCATTACTGGTCTCTTCCAAATCATATAATTATTTCTATTATAATTAGTGGCCACTTGACTGAAAATTGTCTTGTGTGACAACTCAGCCCTAATTTTCCAGGCCAGCGACTTGTTAGAGATCATGTTTCAGAAAGATGTGGTGACATTGGCATTTTGAGCAAGAGAAGTGTCTGACTTCAACGCCAGCTTTGCC